ATAAAAAATCGGAAAATTCGAAAAAAATGTGAAATTGCTTTGCAACTTGAGGGTTCTTTGGATCTGTTCAAAAGCACAGCTATACTGACAACTGCACTTTAACTCTTGCGTTCCCTCCTGCAGTTCTTTTTTTTTATTTGTTAAATAATGATAATTCATGCCATATCGGTACTGAGGTAATATAGCGATGACGCTGGGAGACACATGGAAGTTCGTGAACCGAAACGTCTTAATCTCAGGCTAGCACCTCTTCGCATACATTACAGGGCTCACTATTAGCTAATATCTGTCTATTCCTCGAACAGTGTTTACAGCTCTGCTTGAAACTAATAACTCAGCACTGACGCTGAAACATGAAATCCATCTAAATGCTAATTTCGAAACCCAGAAAGCAACTAACAGCCCACAATACGCCTGACGAAACATGCATTCTGTATGCACATTAACAACAGATGACAAAAAACAAGCAGTTTCCACACCGCGCTTGCAGATTCACTAATCGTTTCGACGAGGAATGGCTTTCATGGCCAAGAAACGCATGACAATACATCTAAGAAACACTCCCTCTCTCCTCTCTACAAGAGACAGAGGCATTCGAGAAGTAGCCCGAGTGACAGCAAATGTTAACAGCAACTTGATGCTGGCTGGCTCTATGGCTTACTCTCTTGAGAGTTGCTTACAAGCAAGCTGATGGCGCGTTCCACTTTCTGGCATATGTCAGTACCAATTTTCCATCGAAACGAATGAAAGAATCGTGGAAGGACTTTGTGTTGCAGATAAAACGTTTCATGTATACTATTAAGGTACAGAGAAAGAGAAAGCACTCGCCAGTAACATCCTTGTCCGGATCAGACCACAGAAGATCACAGAGAAGGCCCTGATCAGGGACGTCTGTGGGACGCATGATACGGCGTATTTGCTCCATTGATTGTAGGTCTGGTGATAAGCCGCCGTGGCAGCAGAATATTTTCTCATCTATGATTGCAGCGACCGGCAAGCAGTTGAAACAATCCGTAAAAGTCTTCCATAACTTGATATTGTAACGTCGCTTGCCTATAATTTAGACAAAATTTCATCCAAAAATGCGACTCGATTATGCGCAACTACGTGAATGGCCCGGGCCACAAAAAATTGGCACCGTATAAAAAGTGGCGGCGATAGTAGCGCATGCTGAAGAAATTTCAGTCGTTTGGCTGTTTTAATTTCAAAGCGACAAAAGTGTCTGCGTCAGATTTCAGACGATCGTACCAAAGATGCAGAGGGGCCGTGCGAAAGCTCAATTTACATACCACCGCACAACAAACAGCGTCGTGAAATTACAGCTCTTCAAAACTTCTTACTGGCAAAAAGTACCATTCATATGCGAGCCTGCCGGC